TGGCTGTAATAAGCAGTCAAAGTAGGAAAACGCCCAGGTTTTGTTCTAAATGTCATTTTGTCATTCTGAATGTCATCAGTTGAACAGCTGTAAAAATTTTGGTCTCCATCACAAGCCTTCACCTGTATCATCTGCATTTTGGTCCATATTTCAGCAACAGTACAATGGACTTATCACTAAAATGAAGTGTGTGTCTTAATTTGCTGAAGTGAAATTCTAAAGGCAGGATAACGTGACCTGAGAGCTTGTGTCCTGCAGATTTCAGGTCTCAGCCCCAAGGCTGTACAATGGATTCTGGACCCCAGCACTGTAAAGGATATATAAACTTTACTAAAAGTTGAAATGAAGAATCCACCAAAAATCCTGCAGTGACTTGTCATTCCATACAGTTTTACTATGATATTCTGTAATTTCAAAGTCAAAAAGTCAAAGTCAAAAGTCTTTATTGTAAATTCCACCATATGTAGAGGACATACAGAGGATTGAGATTACGCTACTCTCAGACTCCACGGTGACTGCACTAACAACAAGAAGTAAGACAGACAAGCAAGACCGATATAATAATGGTGGCTAAGCTGTCATCCCTGTTGGATAACATCTACCATCCCATGCAGGAGACTCTGACGGCACTGAGCAGCTCCTTCAGTGGCAGGCTTCTACATCCACAATGTGGGAAGGAGAGATTCAGAAGGTCTTTCCTTCCAACCGCTGTCAGACTCTACAACAAAGTCCTTGCAGCTGACCCCATACACATAGACTAACAAAACACACACATCCAGTACACCATGGTAGTTTCTATGTGCAATATTTCTTATGTTCAATATTAGTTCTTGTCAATGCCTGTCACTCCACTGCGTGCCTGTCCATATATTTATATATCCACTCTGTACATAATATACATACATACACTCTATACATACATACATATATTTATCTAAGTTTACATATACATATATATGCATTTATATTTTTTAATACACTCATCCATATTTATGTTTCCAGATTGTTTGTTTAGTGTACGTTTTATACTGTACTGTTGGTACAGTTTTTATGGTATTGTTTTTTTAATTTTGCTGCTCTTATCTTGTACTGTCCACTTTCTGCCGTCATGATGCAAATTTCCCACTTGTGGAACTAAAAAAGGATTATCTAATC